GAACCGTAAATGATATCAACGCATGTTTTAGTTATCTTATTTGCCCACAATGAAATGAAGTATGCAAACAGCTAAAATTTAAAGCAAAAACAAATGTATTGAAAGATCATGTAATGTCAATCTTAGTCTTTGAAAGAGGGAATGTACAGACTCATAAGGCTCATATAAAAGGTGTGAAGCTAAAGGCAAAGAAATATATATACAAATTATAAGGTTAAGACAAATTATGTACACAACTTTGTAGCATGGAAATAGAATCATGAGATCATGACTTATACCTCAAAATCTCGCCTGCTAAGGAATCAAACAATGATCAAAACAGTAGCAGCATTCCATATTGTGATGAATGTGAGCAGCGAGACAGGCTAAGTAGCTTATACAGTCATGAAACTTTATTCAGGAAGCTGAGACTTCTGTCCACACATATAGATGTGCCACCAAATTTATAAAGTTGATCACTGCTAAATTAATAAAACATTATGTTGGATAAACAAGTATCACTTGACTTAGAGATGTGAAATAGAAAAGGCAAAGACAAATACATTTGCAAATGACCTACTGCCTGCATATAATAAACTGCCTATAAGTAAATTCCCAAAAAGAATTGGCCTCACTTAACAAAAAACATGCATGCAATAAATAACATGTGAAGTTTCAGAGATAATGAGGTGGATCACATTTTATTCAATGGCAAACAACTGGCATCATCCTAATCTAGTGAGGATTACATGGGGCAATTTATGTTTTCAGAAATTCGTTGAGCACATTATCTGTACTCAGTCCATTCCTATCAGGGAAGGGCACCCTCTCCCCATGCTGCCCCCTGGGTCCTGCAACCACTGCCTCAGCCCTTCCTTGTGCCAACTATTCTCACAGCCCTGCAAAATAATTCTGCCTCATATCTGGCCCACCACCAGCTACCCCCAGGGCGCAAGGCAAGACAAAACCTGATGACAGCATCCCCAAACCTGCCCCCAAGCACAGGAGATGGCCATGCAAAATTCACCCTCCATCCCACTGGAGAGGCCTGGGACTTGAGATCCATCCTCAGAGTGGCCACTGTCCAAAAGGTACCGCCTGGGTAAGGATGTCTGCTTGAACTTCATGGCAGTGCACCGGCCAACTCAGGCTTCCGTGCTTGTGGGCAGGAGAGGGCCAGGGTATCGCACAAGGTGCTGGGCCTTGGTCAGTAAGGGTTTCAAGGGCAGGCCTGCTCTCTGGGAACCAGGTACCAATCAGAGTTGGGAATGGCCATGGGCATCTTACGGGTGGGTGTGGGGTAGAGCGCTAAGGAGTGGGGTCTGCCAGTGCCAATCCACACCTCACTACACCAGGTTCTGATTTGGGGGGTCTGAGGCCTTCCAGGTTTAACTCTGGGTGTCCCAAACTGGGTCACTTCCTAGTACACCATGACCAAACCATCAGTTGCTCCCCAAATTAAAACAGCACAAGGTGAACTGAGTGCTTGGTCCAAAGCAAGAACAGGTGTCTTCACTGTCCTTGTTGGGTGAAAGATAACAGGGGGAAGGGCATCCCTACCCCAAGTGCCCTGTTCAGGGCCCAAGTAGGGAGGTCTGTGGCCACCCAGGAGGGCACTGAACACCCTGTGCCCTTGACTTAGGACCAGGAACAGCTGTCCAGTCTGGCCTATGCGATGCAGTGGTTCCTGGAGTGTTTCCTCTACCGGATAAGGCAGAGACCCGCTGCAAGTGGCTGGGCTAAGAGTCTGGGGAAGTCCAGAGCTGAGGTGGCCCCAGGTCAGCCTGTGGCATGGCAGGCCCTTCGTTGGCCAGATTAGAGTTGGGCTCTTTCTTTGGGATATGTTCCCACTGTGTGGGGGTCACTGCTGCACCCCAGGTTAACCTTGTGCGGTCAGGCATCATCAGTCTTCCTAGCTGACAAGGACCACTTTGTTCAGGACCTCCATCCCCAGAAGGTTGAGTCCACCCAGAGGAGGAACTACATGGGTTTGACACAATCTGGGAGGGTTTGTGGGACTCACACAGGCATGAGTGGGTTCTTGAGGTGCAGGGAACTGCAGAGTGGCCTGCACACAGACACCCTTCCTGCTGATCTTGAGGCTATGGGATGCATTTATCCTCCATGGGGAGTGGATGCTGACAAGCATGGTGTACACTTTGCTGAAGCTGCAAAGGTGCTGGGGCCCAGCACAGTATTGTACACAAGGGTGGTGAGTTTGCAGGAACCCTGCTGAGAATGGCAGGAATGAGGGGTCCTCCCTGTGTGGCTTCTTTAGCAAGGACTGTGCCCAGGGCATCCTGGGCAGAGAAGAAGAAACAGGTGTCCTGGATGTGCCTGAGATATGGGAGTGAGGTGGGCCTGCACCCCCAGAGAGTGGGGAGCTCGTGATTTACATGATCGCCTCTCGGCAACGCTATTAGCTTCCACCCTGGCCTGCCTCAGCCCTGGCACACCATAGGGATCATAGAGACCTGTTCTTCCCAGTCTGCTGGGTGACAGGCTGTCATCCCTCTTGCCCCGTGGTGCCCACAGTCCAGGGCCCTCCCAGACAGGTACCAGCCTGAACAAGAGGGAGCCAGGTCAACGCTGCCTCAAATACCCACACCTCCCCAACAGGAATGGCCGAGATGATGTCAGGGAAACAGGACGCACAGCGGCATCTACCTATATCTGAGGTGTGCCTGGCCTGCTGGTGTCCATGCCTGTTCCCCAGGGTACCTCAGTCATTGCCGGGTGACAGGCACCTTGAGCCAAACTAGGGGTCAGTTGTGCCAGGCCCCCCATCCATGCATACCATGGGGGGGGGGCAGCTATGCACGGAGCCCTGTGCGGTCACCAGGCCGCAAGGGGACCACACCATGCCTTCAACAGGAACCTAGATCTGCTACTCTGACCAACCTGGAGGGACACATCCTAGGCCTCAACTCCCCACATTTGTTAATATATTATCTTATATCAAAATAGAAGACTGCTGTGTTCATTAGGATGCTCTTTGCAGGAGGCACTGGGCACGCCAGAAGCAGAGTCACTGTGTTCGTGAGTTGCACACACACCAGGGCCTCCCAATTCCACCCCAGGCCATGGTCAGCACCACCCCCTCACAGATCGGGGTTCAGCCTGTGTGCACTGGAAGAGGGCGGGCTGGGGGAAGAGCAGAAGGGGGTGCTGCTGGTTCAGTCCATGACAATCTGTGCAAGGCAAAGGGTGTGGCCCCTCTATCCCCTGGCCTGACTGGGCTCCTGTGGCCCTTCCTCCCCTCCCGCCTTCCTCCTCTTTCCTTGCCCTGCCCTGCTCCTGCACAGTCACACTGGGGACCAGCAAAGCCTCCAGAATGGGACAGTGGCTGCCATTAGGTCAGCAGACAGTTGTAGACGCTGCAACCACCCACTCCCACGCACGGGCTCAGTGTGCATGTTTGCTGATGTATCTCCCAGGCTGGGTGGAAAAACCATCTTCCATGCCTAGAAGAAAGGGATGATTCAGAGAGGGGCCTTCAGGGCCCAGCAGGGAAGGAGACCTAGGGACCCCTCAGGTACAGCAGGTCCCAGCCCTCTCATCATCCTGCACCTGCAAATAGAATGGGGACCTGCTCCTTGCTGCCCAGTGCCCCACCCCATCTGGAAGGGGGATCCTCTGCTCCCCACAGGGAGCAGGGTGGGGATACCGTAGTTCTATTGTTCCAAGCTTCAGGACACTACGCCCGGCTCCCAGCTGAACTATGTCCTTGTCTCCAACCACCTACTAGGTGTCAGGGCTGAGGACACATGGAGCACTGTGGGGACAAATTGACTATTGCCCCAGGGTCACTGCCCCAGCCGGCTCAGGGCAACTCTCTACCCACCCCTGGGCTGTGTCAGCCCAGTCTCAGGCGCTGGCCTACTTTGCTCCCACAGGGATCCTAAGGGACCCAGAGGGTCCCTGAACTGGAGGCAGGATCAGAGATGCTGACTTGGGTCTGGCCAGCTGTGGGCAGGAGCCTCTCACCTGCTGCATCCTGGCCTGGGTCTCCGTGAAGGCGCTGCCATGCTGAGGACCAGCTCCTGTGCCTGCTGAGATGCCTGGGTGTGCACAGCCAGGTCGTAACTGTCCAAGACTAGCGCAGCAGGCATGTCATCTGAGCCTTCACCTTCATGGTCTTCTCCTTGCAGAGGGGAAGGTGTGACCTGGCTGGCCAGTCCCACTGCACGCAGGCCACTCACAAGGCAGCAGGGAGGCCCCTGGCTGGGCAGCAGCTCACCTGTTCAAGTGGATGTCCTGAGGCAACCTGGTGTTGCTGAAGGGAACACAGCAGGAGGCCCTCACCAGTGTGTGCGTCCTGGTCTAGCCTGGCGCTGGCCACTATGTCCGGGATGTCCAGCAGCACGTCTCCCCACCCGTCTCCACTCATCTCCACAGGAGCCCTGGGGAGCACATTGCTCAGGGCCCCACCCTCCTGGGAAGGAGCTCTGCCGGGCACTGGCTCCCTTGCTCGGTCAGTGGAGGTGTTAGGGGAAAAAGGATGTCCTAAAGCTAATTCCTTACAGGCTTTGTGGACTCCACCCCCAACCCAGGCCAAAGTCAAAGCCACTGGGAACTCCAAATCCCATCACCACCAAAGGGAAGGTGGCTGGGACCTGAGGGTGGGGTTAAGCAGCCAGGTTGATATGAAGGCAGACACTTGGGCTTTGGGGATCCCCCCATTTTGGCTCTCCGCCAGCTCGCAGCGTCCGGCCAGCTCTGAGAGTGCCTCTGGGTTTCCAGGTCGGCGAATCGGGTAGGATGCATTAAAGACTTTATTTCCCTATTTTCTCCCTGAGTTGTACATTTTCCTTATTTCCTTTTCCCTTGTAAATAAACCTTTTATTAACCTTTTGTGTGTGCCTGTAGTGGAGTATTAATAAGTCCCTTTTAAGCGCGTGGGTGAGGACCCACAGCCAGGAACCCCGTTCAATATCAGGGCTGCCCTATAACAGAGGCAGCGGAAGAAACGCCACATCACAGCCCAGGGCTTTGAGGCCTGGGCAGAATCATCCATTCACCTGGATGGGGTGTCTTATTGTCCACGAAGTGGCTCTGGAGGAGCTGGGGGGGGCACTTCCCTAGGCCTCCTGTGCCCACCGCTGGGCTTCTGAAGGTGCTGAGCCCCGGCACTGGGTGATCTCTGGTCCCACCTGCAGAGGAGTTGAGGCCCAGTCAGCCCAGACCCCACAGGGCTGCCGGCCCTGACCTCCGGGCCCAGATATCCGGGTAATGGGGTTGTTGTAGAGCAACCCTGATACAAAACGGGGTGCCTGACTGTGGGTCCTCACCCGCACGCTTAAAAGGACTTATCAATGCTCTACTGCAGGCACACGTGAAAGGTTAATAAAAGGTTTATTTACAAGGGAAGGGGAAATGAGGAAATGTACAGCTCAGGGAGAAAAGTGGGAGACAAAGTTTTAAATGAGTCCTACCCGATCCGCCAATCAGGAATCCCAAAATGGAGCTCTCAGAGTTGGCTGCCAGCCAGGAGCCGTGAAACCAGGAGGCGAGCGATCCGAGCCAGAGACCCCAAGGCCCACGTGTTTGGTTTTTATATCCAACCTGGCTGCCCAACTCCACCCTCAGGTCCCAGCCACCCTCCCTTTGGTGGTGATGGGATTTGTCTTTCCCAATGTCTTGATGGCTTTAGTCTGGAGTGGGGGTGGGGTCCACAAAGCCTGTATGGGATTAACTCAGGACCTCATTTCCCCCTAACAGGGTGACCTCCAAGCGGTTGGCCCAGCTGCTCCCCGGGGTACCCCCAGTCCAGGGTGGAGCCCCCACTCCAGCTGCACTGAGTGTGAGGGGGGAGATGAGCGCCCAAAGCAGGGCCCAACCCGCATCTCCCCACGCACAGATCAGAAGCTGCTGGACCCAGAAATCCTGAACTGGAGGGTCCGCGGGCTGCGCTTGCCAGTGCCCCCCTCACACCCTCCCTCGGGGGCCCCAGCCCCTCAAACCCTCCTCCTCCTCTCAGGCGGCTCTAATTCCTCCCACCCCAGCCCGCACCCCCTCACCTCCCCCTTTCTCATACCCGCACACCCCGCAGCTCCCCTCCCCTCACAGAAGCGCGTCGCTTATGTCCCCCACGAATTCTGATGACCGTTTAGAAACCGCCGCCCTCCCCCCCCCATGTCCCCACGAGACGCGGCCCCGCCCTCAGGAGAAGCCGCGGGGTCGGGCCTCCGGGTCCCCCGGGGGGCGGAGCGGGGCGCGGCCAAGGAGGAGCCGGGGCGGGGCTTCCATCCGGCGGAGCGGCCAGAGCCGGCGCCCTCGGGAGCCCCCAGAGGGCCCCGGGCGCGGGGCTGTCGGGACCGGCTCCGGCACCTGCCTCAGTCCGAGGAGGGCGAGGAGCGCCCCGACTGCCAGGCGGGGTCCGGGATGCTGCGCGCCCAGCTGCACCGCGGGGGCTGCTGGGTAATGGGCCCGGCTGGGGTCTAGCAGTTCACTGTTGCTGGGGCTCCAAGTGGGCGTGGCCTCTATGGGGCGTGGCTCTGGGCGGGGCCTTAATGGGGCGGGGCCCAGTCTCATGCAGAGACTGAGATAGGGAGATATGGGGGGATAGAGACACAGAGAGATGCTGCTTTGTTACGTATAAGCTCTTATTTCCCCATGATTTCTCTGACTTCTCAGCACTGAGAGATGGAATTTCTTCCAATTACAGTCTCCTCCTGAAACCATCCGCAGGGCTTCCTGAGCGCCTCATCTCAGAGGCTGGGGGAGGCACGGGGTAGCCCATACAGCATAGGCAGGCTACACGTTTGCTGCTGAAAAAAATAACAGACATTTTTATCATTAACTTTTCAAATATTAAAACACGTACAAATGCATATTTTTTGTTCCTATCACTTGGTTCCACAGACCTGCTGCCCAACATACAGGAGGCAGCCTCCTCCTCAGTTTCTACAGACAAGACCGAGCACACAGGACAATGCCACCACCTCAGGAGCAGGGTCATTATAGGTGGGTGCCTCCCAGACCTAGACCAGCAATTTTCTGGCTTGGGCAATGATGTTTGAGACCCTTTGGCAGCAACATTTCCTGGGCTTTCTCTGACTGGGGCTCTGTGGGTTTATGGAGGAGGAGGGCGGGGTCTGCTCCCTTTGTTCATCTGCCAGGGCAAGTGGGCCCTTGCACACTGCCGGCCACACACCTAGCTAGTGGGTGAGCCTCAGTACTGGGCTGCTCAGACAGAAGACAAGATGCTGTATGCTAAGGGTCCCAGGAAGGAGTGGAACACACATACCTGTGCACAGGTGCACAGAGTGCATTGTGTTCATTGTACACATGTGCATATGGCATATACCACTCACACCACAAGTGAACACCTGCCTCTCACAGCACATGTCTTGGCATGTGCATGTCTGTGTGCACATATATGAGCCTTGTGTGTGCACACATGCACAAACACCAGTGTTGGAGCTTGGATTATCTGTGATTCAACTATTCTGTGTCTTTGTCTTGATAATTCTTTGTTTTAACTATTCTTTTCCTCTCAGAGTGCAGAAACAGGGAAAGTTGATAAGGAAAGTTGATAAAGTCCTGGTGTGCGCATGTGTAGAAACTGTAATATAGATCTTATGGTTAGCAGAGCAAAAACATTGAGACTTTCCTTGACTTCTGATTTCCCAATCTTGGCAGGGGCCAGCTGGTTGCATATACCCCTCACACTCTGTGCATTCCCTGTGTGTCCGCTCGCTTCTTTGATCTTTTTTATTTCCTGTCTGATTCTAAATAAAAATGAAACTGGCCTTGGAGCTGGGCTGCCTTCATGGTGTAGTCCCTCTAGGCTTCTCATTGTTCTGCACATGGACTCCACATAATGCTTTCTCATCCCTCAGCTGCACATTGTAATGAGACACACAACCATGTTCACATGCACTTACATGCACTGAGAAGAGGCTCAGCTTCTGTTGATGGGAGGGGATGGTTCTCATGTCTCCATTGGAACCAGAGCCAGAAGACAGGCCCCTGTGCTATGGGGTGGACCTGACCCTCCTCCAGCGCTCAGGAGCTCATGCGATGCTAGCCCCTGGGCTTATTTGCACTAGTATAGTGGGTACTAGGTTCTTAATGATGCCCAGATCACAGAGCCCCACAAAATCAAACCCTCTACTTCAGATATGTCCATGTGCCCAGGCAGCAGACCCCTCCCCAAAGGCCAAGCAGGAGTCTGTCAGTCCCACACTGCAGGTGTCCATCCCAGAGGACTGCAAGATAGGACATGCCTGTCCTTTGGCAAATGTCCATCAAATAGACCCTCTGTTGAAGAATAACTAAGGATTGCTGAAGATAAGCAGATGAGTTGCAGCTCAGCAAGTGCAGGCTTGAGAGGGTGCAGGCAAGTGGAGACAGCAGGAGAGGGTTGGCTTTTGTAGAGTTGAGGGACTGCTCATTGGAGGAGAGCAGAGTCCCCAGTGGGGACAGATGGCTCCTGGAGCTGTTGTCAGGCAGGATAGAGCCTCCTGGGGTGGTGGAGGTCTCCCTGTTTGGAAGTTGTCAGGGGAGCCTCTCTGTTAGGGAAGTAATGCAGACAGGCACTTGCAGTGATGGGGAGTGATGATATGTGAGCGCCTCTGCAGACCTAGGACTCCGGGGTCAGACCTAGGTCCACACCCTCTGCAGGGGGCCAGGGAGATGCCATGCAGGTGGCATCTGTGGGGTCTACATGAGCTGATTCTAAACTGTGTGTGGAAAAATACCCCAAAATATCTTGGAGAAGTCTACAAAAATCTCACTAGAGGGATGAGCCTGCCAGTGTGTAGCATATAAATTCAACTGACAATCTTATTATAATTAACACAGTCCCAAATCTGTATGGGAAATTACTAACTGAGGAGCCAGAGTTTCTGGAATGAAACAATTATCATTCAGCAAGTGATCTGGGGATCAAAGGCCACCAGAAAAATTCAGCTGACTGGCATGCTACACCTTCACCGTCTAAACCAAGTGGATCATAGGGATGCAGGTGCCCTTTGAAATTAATGTTTCTGTGTCCTTTGGGTAAATACCTAGGAGTGGAATTGCTGGATCATATGGAAGCTCTATGTTTAGTAGGTCCAGAAATCTCCACTCAGCTCTCCATAGTGGTTGGACCAGTTTGCACTCCCACCAACAGTGCAGGAGAGTTCCTTTTTCTCCACATCCTCGCCAACATTTGTTGTTGCTAGTTTTTTTAATATGTGCCATTCTCACTGGTGTGAGATGGTATCTCATGGTAGTTTTGACTTGCATTTCCCTGATTACAAGTGATGTTGAACATTTTTTCATATGCCTGTTGGCCATTTGCATTTCCTCTTTGGAGAAGTTTCTTTTTAGCTCTTCTGCCCATTTTTTGACTGGATTATTTTCTTTGTTTTTGTTGAGTCTCATCAGCTCTTTGTAGATTTTTGTGATCAGTCCTTTATCATTAGTGTTGTGTGCAAAAATTTTCTCCCAGTCAGTGGGGCTGTTTACAATAACGAAGCTATTGAAACAACCCAAATGCCCAAAAATAGATGACTGGATCAAGAAGATGTGGTACATATGCACAATGGAATATTACTCAGCAATCAAAAAAGATAAACACATGCAATTTGCAGCAACATGGATGGCGCTGGAAGGGATCATGCTCAGCGAAATAAGCCAGAGAAAAAAAAGAAAAATACTGGATGGTCTCACTCATAGCAGGAATCTAGAAAACCTAAATAAGGGACCAGGAAAAAGAATAACTACAAGAAAGAAAAAAATCAAAATCAACGTACAAGTATGAACCAGAGACACACTATGTGGGGGGTGGGGAAAGGAGAGTTTGGGGTCAAAATAAGAGGGTTACAATTGTATGGAGAATATAAAAATAAAATTAAAAAAATAATAAATAAATAAATAAATAAATAAAATCTGTTGAAATTAAAAAAATAAACTAAGTGGATCAAGGACTTGTTCATAAAAATGAAAGTATTAAGAGCACAAGAAAATGTCACATCATATTGATACTCTCAGAGACTAGAGGAGACGCTTTCCACCTAGGGCATGTTTCCTAGAAGCCACTTTTAGAAAGTGGCCGATTCCACCACATGAAAAACAAGCAGCTCCTTGGGAGGAGAAATCCATAAACAAAGTCAAAGATAAACCTCAAACTGGAGAAAAAATACTATCAATTATTTTAATTTCCTCAGTGGTTGAGAAGTTGCTACGAATCACATTTTTAAATAGCCAAATGAAATAGGAAATAATATCAAGAAATAAAGGATATATAAATGGTTCTCAGATGATAGATACACTTAGAGCTCACTCATAAGTGATGTACCTACTGAAAATAAAAACAGAGCATGAAGTCCATCACCTCAGACAAACCAATGATGGCAGCCTCACATGCCCAGTTCTGATGGGGCCCTAGGGGCATGGTAAATGCTCTCTGTCAAAGCTAACTGCTCAGGAATGGGCAGGTCCGGACCACACACATGTGTTTGCAGATGTATGTGCAAGAATCCCCTTGGGTAGGTTTTCTAACTGCCAGAGAGTAAGCAACACTCTTGCCCATCAGCAGGGCAATTCATCATGGTGAATATAATTGCATCTGAGAGATATTTTAAAAATGGAGGC